TTGCCATGCAGCACCATGTCGCCTTTCTTGATGATAGCACCATGCTTCAGCCTTGTCATGGTGCTTGTCATGCACTCATCCTCCTGCCGCAGGACATTGTACTGCACCAAGCTTTTCTTCAGCTTTGCAGTGCAAGCATGCGGCTGCAGCAAATGTGCCCGCAAATGGAAACCCTCTTCTTTGCCCATGACCGACAAATGCTCTGCAGTCACCTCTTCCAGAAGAGATGTGTCGGAACGAATCGTATTGCTAGAAGCCGACCCATATTTACGGGCGGCTTCCAAGACCCAGCATGCAGGCAGAAATCCTTGTTTCTCGTAGCAACCATCCAAGTGGAGGGTCCAATGAAACTTCGGCCGCATCACTGGACCCCATCCTGCCTGCACCGCTTTTTCCAAGGCTTCCTCGCAAGCAAGGAGCAGTTGTCTGGACCGAAGTGGTGCTTGATTTTGATCGTTCAAGAGTTCGAGCACATGCAACCATGCTAGAAGCGATGCTTTCGCAGGCTGCACTTCTTCTTGCAGGCAGCATGTTGTGAAGTAGCGCTGCAATGGTTTCAACAAACCCAGAACTTCGGATGCAGTACACTTGAGATGACCTGTTTTTCTGTGGCTCTTGATTTTGTCTGCCGAAAACAAACTGCTCAAGGAGCCTTGTCTGTTGGCACCGGGCAACTGCCACAACTCCAAGTAGCCTGCGAAGGATTCCCACACATCGGCTTTGCCATGGTTTCGCCATGACTCGAATGCCCAACATATAACGAAACTGAGAACTCCGTTGCTGGAAGACATGCACAAAGCATGTGGCGAAAATGTCCATCCACTTGCTTGTTGAAGCATTGCAAAGCGAGCCTTGCTTTCAGTTCCTGCCTTTGCTGCCAGCCGATCCCAACTCTGCAGCCATTCGCTGTCCGAGGCAAGGTCGCAGGAGGACAGGGTCAGGTGTCTGGAGCTGATCTTCCCCTCGTCGTCATCATCACCTTCACGTCTAACATTGAAAATGTTCTTGCAGAGCATGCAAACACGAGAACCGATGTCGTGGCGGTTTGCAAATGTTTGCTTCTGGGCACTGCCGTCTTGTAAAGAGACGTGGAGGGTCCAATGGAAAACAAACAATGCATCGGTTGATTTCATGACAATGCCATGCACCGGGTTCCAGAGCTGCTGTGCGAACATATCTTCCAAAATGAGTCTCAGGGTCTGGCCGATACCAGCTTCAACTTTTTGTACTAGTTCAGTTCTCAAGACCGCCAATGTAAACCAGTGTCGCTCCTCGGATAAGTCTTGCTGTTGTAAGTTCAACAAAGAAAAATATATGCACCAAATTTTGCGGCCAGTACTGGAAAGTTGATTGCCGGGATGAGCTTCATCAGCATAAAGAACTCCCTTCCATGGGCAGTCCAAGCTTGAGGGGTCTTGCATGTGCATGTGATTGAAACTTCCTGCCTGTATAACCCCTGGAGCATTGTTGGTAGGTTGAGGATATGAAAGTGCAAATCCCCACCATCAATTCGCACAGCTGTGAGCTGCTTGAGTAAAGACCCACAATCCCCAGCCATGGCGGCAATCTTCTCCAGAACCGCTTGCTTGATGTTCTTCCTTCCATGCAGCTCTGGCACTCCTTCCTGTTCCACCTTGTTCAAAATCGCTGCCAATGCCGAGCACGACACGAAGGGAATGCCTCTACGGAAAGCATCGAGATGGTCCAGCTTCTGCTTCTTGGAAGCTGAGCTGGAGGACTTAGCCATAAAGCATGGCTTGTGATGATCCCTACCCTAAACTCAAAGACTTGGACAGCTGGGCATGTGACAACAACCTCATGCAGTTTTGCAATGCAAGCATGCAAGCAAGTGAGAAGCCAGCCCTAAGCGCTAGGAACAAGCAGCAACAGCCCTTTTTGCCGAAGGCTGGACATGTATAGTGCATGGAATCCCCTTGTGCTACCTTTTTCAGGTAGGTCGGATGCAACCATGCAAGGTCGCATCGAAAGCCCTCGGGCATAGAGCACTCTATGCACCTGTGTGTACCCAAACCCTGGGACCTGGATCAGTGCTTGGCCGCCTTCTTCCGTTCCTCCATGTACTTCTTCCATTCGGCCCGACCGTTGAGTCGCACACCGGCGAACCCATCGAAATTGCAATTGTCGCAGCCATACACATTGCCACGGCATCTTGCACAGCCCCAGCAGGTGAGCCTTCCGTCCTGCTTGGCAGCCTTCTTCTCTTTGTTCATCGGATGTTTCTCAACGCACTTCGCTGCAGGCTTTTTGAAGAGCTGTGGCATCTTCTGATTGCAAGGCTTCCCATTCTTCTTCTCCTGCTTCGGTGCTTTCTTATTCTCCACTTGTGCCAATGCCTCTGCTTCGTACTGTTCCAAGCTTTTGCCTTCGTTTGCCCCTGGCACCGACTGCTTTTCCGGAGACTTGTTTTCCGGAGCATCGGCGGGGCTCTGTGCAGGCACGTGCAGTAGAGGAATTTGCAGGTGTCGGCAGCAACTGGAGCTGCCGGATCACCTCGTCCTTGGAGGGCATGCAACTCGAGGGGCATGACTGCTTGAGTGCAGCTTGTCTGGCTTCCTCCTCGGCAAGCTTTTCTTTCATGGTCTCCAGCCAAGTCTTTTGCTGCATGGCATGCATGGACATGTTGCAAGCAAGCTGATTGGAACCCTGAGAAGTGCCTTTGAGCAGCCGGCTGGTGGTGCGGATTGGGCACGACTTGGACAAGACATGCAGCTGTGGCAGCTCTGCACAGCTGGGGTGAGAACCTATGCAGGCTTTGGCAATCCAATCTGGTCCCAACTCTCGAGGATCGTCTGGGTATGTCCGGAAGGCAGGCACATCACTCTGTACGTTCAGGCTGTGAAAAACGTCCTGGAAGTCAGTCGCTAATTTGTAGATTTTGTCTGCATCTGCTTGTTGGGGATTCTGCCAAAGATGGGCTTGCACGTGCAAAGTGACACAGGATTTCTTCGTACATTCTTTGCGGCTCGTCAACCCAATCACCCGAAGCCGTCTGGCAATGAGGATCGGGGCGTCCTTGATGTCACCTTGCATAAGCTGCACGATTTCCTCTTTCGTCAAATAAGCCACTGGGTTCTTCAGTGTCTGCGGAACTTTGACGAGCTTGCAGCCACCTTCCGTGCTGCCACCTGAAGCATTCTTCAAAGGAGCATCACTCAATGCCTTTTTTGTATTTTCGTCCAATCCAGACTGTTCCACAGACTGGAGCATGTTCACATACTCCCCTGCCGGCAAACTGTCGGCAGTCACGACCTTCTTTTGCAAGACATTCAAAAGACTCGCCTGGAGCTGTGGATTCGGAGAGAAGCTCAAAAGCTTCTGGACATCCGAAAGCTCCTTGGCAAAGTCCTTGCTGCCCCAAGCAATTGCCATGAGTCCAAGGACCCAGGACCTAAATGATTGGGGCCTGTGCTAGGAGCCTGAGCCCGTAAGCTTGCCACCAAGGGCCAGAACACGAACAATTAGCAAGTTTTAGGCGTCCCAAGTATAACTCAATCAAAACACGCTGCTTATTGAAACCTTTTCAGTACCGCAGTCCTCGAGAAGCTTATGCTCCTTCACCTCACGCCAAACCCTAAACATGAGACCCTCCAGGCCCTGAACCTCCAAGCAAAGCAAGATACCTACGCTAGATGGGTGGCGTTTCTTTTGACGCCGTTCTTGGTTCCTGGTTTTTCACCTTTAGTTTGATTTTTCGCTTAGTCACCATTGTTCCACTTTTACTTTTTTCGCTGCTTTTACAGTTTTACCCTTTTCGCTGCGTGGCGCGTTTTTACGATTTTATGGGTTTTCGCTGCTTTTACAGTTTTACTCTTTTCGCTGCGTGGCGCGTTTTTACGATTTTACTGTTTTTCGCTGTTTTTACAGTTTTACGCTTTTCGCTCCGTGGCGCGTTTTTACGATTTTACGTTTTTTCGCTGTTTTTGCTGTTTTACTTTTTTGGCGCAGCAAATTGTTTTTACAATTTTACGTTTTTCGTTTTTACCTTCGTCCGTTCCGCGGCGGAAATACATCCGATCATGCAATTTTTACATTTTAACAGTTTTACATTTTTCGCCCCTGAAGTTGGGCCATCTGGTTTTTACATTTTTACATTTTTACCGTTTTACTCGCTTCCTCCGGTCGAAAATATACTTTTCGATTTTTCGTTTTTACGTTTTTCGCTGCCGATGTGCGTCCGGACTCCTTAGCTGTTTCAACAACACTAAGCCAGCACAGGTTCACCGTGCTGTTCGCACATCCTCGCCAAAACAGTGCGGCCATTCTTGGAACGCAGAACCCTGCTCTCTTGACAAGGGCCCGCGTTCCTTTGATGCAAAGAAGTGTGTTCGCTGTTGTCCTTCGGACCGTTCTTGGGACTTGTCAGGAGCTCAGAGGCCATTTTCACACAGTCCTTCTGTTTGCAAGTGGTCTTGCTGCTGGACTTTCCCTGGACATCGTCCAGCCATGAGCTTGCAAATGGCGTGCCCTCGTGGACCCAACCCGCCGGACTGTTGGACTTCTCGTAGGCCTCCCAACAACATTGCCCACATTGCCCAGACCGGCTCGCGGACAAGGTGGGCTGGGCACTGCACCTGCCTGCATCTGCGTTGTCTTGTTGGTTTCTTCGGATGAGATGCATGCCAAGAACCTTCCGTTCCAATGAGAAGAAACTTAAGGCCTGTGGCCTGTTTCATTTGGCTCTCTTTCGGATGCCTCAGCTTCGGCAAACCATTCTCTAAAGACTCCTTCATCTGGTTCCTGTGGCGCGACAACCCAATGTTATCTTGCTATATCTTGCTGGAACAGGGATATCACCTAAAATCTCAAGGGAACAGGTACGCCTAGGTTTGCGGACATGATGCAAACTGGATAGGTGCATGTGTGTGATACGAGTGGTGCCGGTATATGCTGCGTTTTTTGATCACATCTGCTACCCAGAGATTTGGGCACTCACGCGCACTTTCTACCCCAATAAGCCCACGTGATTCCGAGGCCAGCTCTAAGAAGCTCTTGGACCCTCGCCTGGCACAGTACTGTCGGGCTTGGCTTGAGTGGGTTCAGGGTGTTTCCTTCTGACTGCTGGCATTCCATGACGGCCTCCAGCTCTTCGTTCTGGCGTTTGGCCGCGCCCAGCGCACGGTCCAATGCACCGAAGTCATCTGCGAAGCAGTTCGTGATGTCAGAACTCCGGCTCACAGACATGAAGGGGATGATCGAAGGGATGCAATGCAACCCTGGCCTGGAACGGACGGTGGGGCTTGGATCTGGCTCCGAAGCTCGTTGTTTTCACCTGAGCAGGGAAGGCGGCGAATATGTGTCAATCATACGTTGACACGTAATTAGTCTCGATAAGACGATAATCTGATACGGCGATCGCCCTCCAGGGCTGGCGCGTTGGAGTTCTTGCGCACGGCCCTGCCCGACTTTTTGGGGTGCGAGTGTATGATGCAGAGAATTCAGAAACTAGTACGAGCACACTCCGACGATGAAATTCAAATCCGCAGTAGATTCAGAGGAGACATGTATCTTGACTCGGCTTCTGCATGCTGTATTACACCTTGCTTGAAAGGCATTGTGGCTGCCTGGAGCTTGTCGTTCTCTTGTTTGGCCGTGGCCAGAGCAGCGGCCGTCTCAGCGGCGCCTTGTAAGCTGCGCTTGAGTGATGGGCTAAAACTCAGGCTTCAGGCCTGGAGGTGGAGGCGGGTACCGCTGCAGCTCCAGGTTTTCACCTCGCCCACTGGAATGCGGTGCCATTACAGTAACTGCAGCCTTTTCAGTACTTCGACATCCACTATGGGCTATTGCCTCCATCGAAACACGGACCCACTTGCATACGAGCGACATCGAGTCCTACCAATAGTGAAACAGCATCGCTGCATCGATGGAACTGCAAGCGAGCGATGCAGGTATATGGGTTCTACCCACGCACGTACGCTGAGCTGTGCACGAAGAAGTTCCTGCACACGCACCTGCAACTCCTCGTTCTGTCGTCTCACTGCAGCCCCTGCAGCACCTTGCATTTGCAAACCCCGTGATTGTGCTGCACCTCATCACTCCCTAATTTTCACAAGGCATCGGCTGGCAATATCCGACGAACGTCCCTGGAGCTCCAGGTTTTCACCTGATCACGGGTTGGCGTGAGTGCGGTCCACTTTGAAGTCTCAACAACATCCCGAGCACCGCACGAAGGAGTTCTTGCACACGCCCCTGGCAGAGAAGCTCCGGAGCGGATTTCCCTCGCAAGTCGACAGAGTCCGCACGGGCCTGGAGCTCTGCGTTCTGACGGCTAGCGCCAGCCCCTGCCTCACCTTGCTTTCTCGCATGTCTCGCAGTCCGGTATCTTTGGCATTTTGTTCAGCATGCGGTCGAGGGAAGCGTTGTTGAGGTTCGCACCAGGTGGAGCTGGAGACTGACTGCGCCGTTGAAGCTCCATCTCACCTAGAGGCATGCAGAGGTGGTGGCTGTACACAGCTAAGTCTCTTGAATGCTTTGAAGAGGAGACCCTCTGTGGCTTCGGTAGAGTACTGAAGCTGAACATGTCATACAGACACTCAGGAGGCCGCTTGCGAGCTCTTGCACACGTGCCTGCGCTGGGCGCAAGCTTCAACTTGCGGAGCGTGTGACAACGCTGTTGACACGCTCCACCCGTTCTCGCCACAGAGATGCTCCCACCACATTGGAGACGAGGCCCAGACGAACAGCAGAACACAGCGACCACAGGAGCTAGCATTTGCAGAGTCACTGCGGCCATCTACCAACAATGGCTCTGAGTTTCCTTGATGCCCGGAGTTGCCAATATCTGCATCTGCTTCTGCGTGCATTGGCATGCCGAACGCCACAAAAACAAGAGCACTCCGGTATACATCCCTCATCATCCATTCAATAGCACACTCAGAGAATTCCAGAAATGCGCCGGTATTGAATTGGCGCTCTAGTTTTAATGGCACAGTACTGACGCTCTGGCATGTCGCAGGTGCTATGTGGGCTATGTGGTGCCACAAGTGCTATGGCACGACGAGGTTATTACACAGTGGAACTCCAGAGCTTCTATCGTGACAGCAACTCTCGGAAAGGAGCATCACTCTCGCCTGAAGCTCTTCGATTTGGCGCCTGGCTGCTGCCAGAGCGGCTGCATCACCTCAGCTGCAGCCCTCGGCTTTCCCGCATGTCTGGTTTATTTTGCCCTCTCACAGCTTGCTTGCACTTGTGGCCAAACCGATCCGGTAGCACAAGTCTTCACCGAACTTGCTCAACGCCCTGCGGCTGCTAACTTTACAAGTGACTGTGTCAGCCAATCCGGCTCTGAACGTGCGGGGTGCCAAAGTTCAGGATGTGGCTAATTTCTTTGTTTCCGGACTCTGCGGATGGGGTATGGGCAGGTGGAGCCTTCCAGGATCCCGTAGCTATGTATATAAGAGTCATTGCTTCCAGCACGTTGTGCGTCTGCAGACTGAGCAGGTCACCGAGAAGCGGCCTATGTTGCGCAACCGGGTCACTCGGAGTCGGAGATTGGCTGCGCCTCTGAAGTTCCAAGTTCTCACCTTGGACTTCGAACGTCCCTAAAAATGGATCATCTGTTCATTCCTCAGGTTCATTGAGGAAGACCAAACGCTGCCAGAATGCACAGTGAGGAGCCCTTATGAACTTCAGTACAAGCATGCAAGGACGGGTGGATGAAAGCTGGCTTTTCCTCTACATTCAGACTTGACGCGCTGTAGGCAACCTTAGCGGATTTCCGCTGTGAATACAGCTTCCTTCTCTGCGAATTGAATTGTGCTCGGTTTCATGGGGCGTTGAAGGGCTCGCACTTAGACTCAACCTTCACAAGAAGAAGCCGGCTGGATTTTTGACAAGTCATCAGCTCCAGGATGACAACTAGAAATCAATGTGAACACCAACTGAAACTACTATCATCGGGCTTTGCCCTAGTCACGGCTCTGAAAACTTTCAAACAATCTGCACTCCACACGAGTAGCAAAATGTTATGTCAAAATCCCAATACTTAATTCAATAATCAATGAACGCCAACCTCGGTACAACGCAGCAATGTTATGCAAGTTCTTCCATTCTGGACTCCCCCTCCATTTTGCCAATACTGCTGAGGACTGCTCGAAGGACGGTCTGCAGTCGCGCCTGCCAAGTGCATGGATAGTAAGCAGTGTCAACGAGCCACCCACCCGGCTAGCAGCAGGTTGAAGCCGCTGCAAATGCAAGGGTAGTTCAAAAGTACATCAGCTGGAGTCCGGTGCTGGGACATTTCAGCGACTGGTCACTCGGACTCCGTCTGAATCTAGAGGTCGAAAAGTCTAGCAGTCGCAACTCTTAGTAGTTATGGCAGCAGAGCACTTTTTCGGATTTGCTACACTTGTAGGATCAAGCATCTTCCACTCCCGTCTCCATCGAATGCGAAGTGCAAGGTTGACAGCATTGATCTGCAGAGCCGCAACCAGCCCACAGAAGAGCTCCGGATGCCACAGACTAATTTAACAGAGCAGAAGCTGGCTCCTTCGGTGTGACATGCAACTGTGCTGCATGCCAAAGGCGAAATGACGGGCTGCCTGAAGTTCCTCATTCTGTCGCCTTGCTGCTGCCAAGGATGCAGCATCACCTCCGGCTTTCGAGGTAGCTGGGGAAGAAGAACCCTCATGATAACAGTTTGAAGGAACGAGAGAGTCCAACTGGCGATGGCAACAAATGCCAGCAGCACGAGTTCTTGAACCATCCCTCTGTAAAGCTTCAGACAACAAAGACAAACCCACCTCTCAGGGGCGTTGCATCAAGTTGGGAGTTCAATGCCGCCACTCACTAGCAAGAAAGACTCCCGAAGCTACTGCAGGTGCGACCTCGGGGTCATGGCCTCAGAAACAACCCATGCACCCTGTCGCACTCATACTCGCTTATTCCGGTTTCACAACTGCTCCGGAAGGCACAGGTAAAGGCCTGAAGCTGGTGGCGGGGATGGACTGCGGCGCTGCATGTCGATGTTTTCACCTCCGCACAAGAGCCTCTTCCCTCCGACATGCCGCCATGGCAGCACACCTTTGATCAAGGCTCACTTCGGTCTGAGCGCGATGCGAAGAAGCTCCTGCACTCGTGCCTCCGACAGCTGCAACCGCTCGTGCCGGGTGCAAGCAGAATTCTGGGATCAGCTAGAGCATTTGTTGCTGGGGATGGGACATTTCAGGGACAGGTCACTCTAACTCCATCTGAATCTAGAAGAGTCTAGCAGTTTCAACTCATACAGTAGTAAGTAATTATGGCAGCAGGGCACTTTTTCGTATGTACACTCCCGTCTCCATCGAATGCGCAGTAGCATTGACCTGCAGAGCCGCAACCAGCCCACAGAAGAGCTCCGGATGCCACAGACTAATTTAACAGAGCAGAAGCTGGCTCCTTCGGTGTGACATGCAACTGTGCTGCATGCCAAAGGCGAAATGACGGGCTGCCTGAAGTTCCTCATTCTGTCGCCTTGCTGCTGCCAAGGATGCAGCATCACCTCCCGCTTTCGAGGTAGCTGGGGAAGAAGAACCCTCATGATAACAGTTTGAAGGAACGAGAGAGTCCAACTGGCGATGGCAACAAATGCCAGCAGCACGAGTTCTTGAACCGTCCCTCTGTAAAGCTTCAGACAACAAAGACAAACCCACCTCTCAGGGGCGTTGCATCAAGTTGGGAGTTCAATGCCGCCACTCACTAGCAAGAAAGACTCCCGAAGCTACTGCAGGTGCGACCTCGGGGTCATGGCCTCAGAAACAACCCATGCACCCTGTCGCACTCATACCGCTTATTCCGGTTTCACAACTGCTCCGGAAGGCACAGGTAAAGGCCTGAAGCTGGTGGCGGGGATGGACTGCGGCGCTGCATGTCGATGTTTTCACCTCCGCACAAGAGCCTCTTCCCTCCGACATGCCGCCATGGCAGCACACCTTTGATCAAGGCTCACTTCGGTCTGAGCGCGATGCGAAGAAGCTCCTGCACTCGTGCCTCCGACAGCTGCAACCGCTCGTGAGCACTCGGGTCAAACAACATCGCGTCTCTGACGAATGCACCAGAGCTTTGCGTAATATGCTAGGTGCTCTTCCCATGGCATGCTATGATCTACACTGCGACGGTGTCCTGCCTGCAGCTGCGCTACCTGCTGCTGCAAAGCCATCAGCACGGCTGTGTCTGGATGAGGCTGCGCTGTCGCCTCAGAGCACCCGTGAACGGGCGAGCGCCAGAACGAGGCACTCACTTGTGGAAGTCGTTCTTTGATTGTGGCTGGCAACTTGGGTACAAGCTCCACAGTACGCGTGGTGGGCATAAGTGCCAAATTCTCCAACTTGCCTCCCTGTGGTTTCCCTGTGCCAGCCTGTATATCACATGGGTGTCCGTAGTGTGGCTTGAGTGGCTCATGTTGCTGAGCATGAGGAGAAGGAAGCAACTATCGAACCATTGAAACTATTGAAACCATTGGTTTTTCAGACTACTCCCGTAAAGCCCAGTCACAGTTGCCGGCGCTGCCACAGGCACCGCAGCCACCGGCACAGCTGTTGCCACCGGGGTCGCAGGCACAGGCGGTATGGGAGGTGCGCCTGGATGCATCCGCCGGACGAGTTTTGCAGCGAGCAGATGCACACTGTCTGCAATCATGTCAAGTAGAGAGACTGCTCCGGTTCATGCTGACGCCCTGCACCATGTACCACCCCTGTAGTCATCGACTGGAGTTGTAGCGGAAAAAACAGCAGTAGTGGTGATTGCCCACCTCTGAAAGTTTAAACGAAGAAGAAGATAAGAAGGAAGAGCTTTGTACGTACATAATCGAGCAACAGAGGCGCTGTTTTGGAGTGCAGCAGATTGGGGCAACGACTCTCGGCTGCCCGCTGCAGCGCCATGTTCTCGCCTCAGTGGACAAACTTTTGCAAACCTCTGCAGACTGGTTGCACAGATCAAACTTGCTCGTTGGCGATGCCTCACCGATTTGCGGTTTGCGTGCAGTGAAAGTGTGGGAACGGATGAAAAGACAATTTGCCGTGCGTGGCAAGTTTGCAATTCTGAACATCACATTCCCCAAGCGGCCACATATAGCTGGCACTTAAAACATATTTGGGTGGCAAGCGTTGATGTTTACGGACAAGCATTTCATATGCAGCTCCTGCGCACAGAACTCGACCGGCCATTAATCATTCGTAGCATTCTATATAGTCCTGCTCGATGAACCGGCCTGCAGGTAATTAGCCAACGCCACGCCAAGACAACACTCCACGCCCGAGGTGCTCTCATGTAAATGCTTAAGGTATGCACTCTTGTAAAAGCCAGCAATGAAACATGTCGGCAATTCGACATTCACGCGATCGACCATCAAGTAGAATCTACCACTCCAGGCTGAAAGCTTCACTCCCATCGGACTAGCTCAGCCCAACCGCACATGCTGAGGAGTCGGCGCAGAAGCTC